CCAGCTCAGGGTTCAGATCTCCAGCCTCGGTATATAATCAGGGTATATAAGTTCAAACCCCATGGTTTCGTTGCCCCCAGGACCCTATATCATCAGTGAAAGTATAAGTGTAGGATCTTATTGTTATAACCCCCGGCCTCAATTCTATGAGCGGATAGAAGAAATTATTGTTGTGGTCCCCCAAGACCCCAGAACCAAACTATAGCACCCCATTCTCTGAACCCCAAGACCCCAATACCAGCAGCTTATATAACCAAAATAGGACCCCATTTTCTGAACCCCAAGACCCTATAATACCATCAGCGTAACAAAACTATAGGACCCCATTTCCCGAACTCCAAAACCCCAACACCAACAGCGTAACCAAACTAGGACCCCATTCTCTGAACTCCAAGACCCCAATACCATCAGCGTAACTAAACTAGGACCCCATTTTATGGCCCCCCAAAGCCCCAATACCATCAGCGTAACTAGGACCCATTTTGTGGCCCCCCAAAGCCCCAATACCATCAGTGTAACTAAACTAGGACCCATTTTGTGGCCCCCCAAGGCCCCAATACCATCAGGGTAACTAAACTATAGGATCCATTTTGTGGCCCCCCCCAAGGCCCCAATACCATCAGCGTAACTAAACTAGGACCCGTTTGGTGTAAACTAGGACCCCGTTTTGAAGCCCCCCAAGATCCCAATACCATCATGAAGACCCCAACACCATCAGCATAATTCTAAACCAGGACCCGTCCATCAGTGTAGCCAAGCAAGAAAGACCGCGTAGCTGGGAAGTGGGTTTTGACCAGACAGTCACACAGTCACATTTACGGGCAGTAGAAAGCATGAAGGCACACCTTCTTCATTGAAGCCCCATATGCAAAGGAATCCAACCAGCCTGTATCGCATGTTTATGTAATTGGTACAAAATCATTTTGGGGTCTAGAGAACACCTCCTCTATACAACGAGCAACTATAGAATACATTGCGATCCCTTTGTAAAAGCAGTTCCTTCTCTAATTACAAAAATGGTGGAGAGGAGCCCCGCCATTCCTCAGGAATCTGCAGCGAGGTACCACCTCCCCAGTACCGGACTACCGGTTCCAGGCTTGCCGCTTCCCAGACACTCTCACCGCAGGAAAGGGTCTGGCACAGGTCTTGAAGAGGCGTGTCTTCATCCTTAGATGGGCCGTTTGTACAATCCGTGGTGTGACCTATAGAACTATTTGCAAGCATTTCCTGTTATGGGATTTTCCAGGCTACACTGGTGACTCATAAGAAAGGCGAGGAGCAACAGGAAAGGTCACGTCTTGGGCTTGTAGCTGTGGTATCATAGAGACAATTTTTCCAGCGAAGCCACCAGGATACTCCCTTAGCTGAGGCCGCAAGCAGCTTCATGAATGATGGCAAGTGCCCACAACACATCTAGATATGCGTTGCCAAGTCACCCACTCCTTTTCAAATTCCTGCGGTGACCCACGAATCTCCGCTTGCCATTCTTGTCGATATAGTGGAGAGCTGTAGGATACGCAGCCCTGCCCTTGCTCAAAGTGCCCCTATCCAACTGCCAAGCAAGCTTCCGATCACTAACCACAATGGTTCTTTTTGGATTTCCATGGCCATGATGCTTCATCCAGAAGGATATTTTGAAGACCTTGGCTGATGGCAGCTAAGAACCTTCGATAATGAGGTTGTCAAGGCGCATGTACAGCAGAGCAAAATCAGAATGAGTCACACGTCTGCCAACTTTTCGCATGTTCCGGACATACTGCAAGAAGTATTTCGTTTGGAACATGATCGACGTCGCTGGGCTTTCCAGGAATATTGAAGCACCCACAGCAGCGCAAACGAACATCAAACATATCGTCCTGCAGCAGACATGAAGAAACATGCACAACGCTTCTTCAAAACATTGCTCTCCAGCTACAAAATCCCAATCAGTCCTGCAAAGGAGCCGGTTTGCCCGAACAACATTAGGCAAGTCCTCCCTTCCCTCCGGTATCAAGATATCTCTTCCTGAAGACGCATTGATGGCAACAAATGACGAGCAGCAGGTTCTGAAGATCGCACATAGCTGCGACCAGTTGCCCTGCAGGATGAGGACCACACAGAGCCTGGGCTGAGGCTGAGAGGGAAGGTTGATTGGGTTGCTCTAGCTTCTGAGTAGATCTTGACTGTGTGGCATGTGCTTCAACGACCTACATAACTCAAACCAGCTGGGATACGCAAACCCCGAGTCAGAGTTGATATCGAAGGGTGACTTCTTTCCTGCCCTTTGTCTTCTGTACATAGGTCTGACCCCATCGTATAAGATGTCAACTGCAGTTGCTTTCCACCCCACGTTGTGAGCATGGCGTGCAATCTTACATCTTCCGCCAAAGAATTCCACCAGGTCCCAGGGGGTTTGCGGATGAAGATCCAGGTTGGTTGTCCACGTGACCATCAAGACTATGAGGAACAGCTCCTGACCAAGATCAAAGGAGGTTCATGTAGCTAGCTACCTACCCTCAACTTACAAGGTGGCTTACATGGCTAGTGCGGGGTTCGTGTCAGGTCCACAAACTTACACGTCTGCTTTCAGTCCTTCGGTACTCGGAGGGCAGCAAGCCGGCGCAACATAAGCTGAATATTGGAAGGGCTCGGCATTGCTGCGCTACGTAGTATACCCAGCTTCACAAGAGAACATACAAGAGGTTGGACAACTAAAAGGCCCCCCGGTATCATAAGACTTCATGGTCTACATGGAAGAAGCCTGTGTGCTTGATTTGTGGAAGTCCCAGCAACCACATCTAAATTCACAAGTATAGCCTCAACAACGCAGCAGGTTGCAGAATCATCATTCCCCCACAGAAACATGTCAGAGTTACTAAGTGCCCCTCGGCTCGCCAACCAGGCCTGACCTCTTTTGACGGCGGGCATGGTCCCAACAGGCGCACCTGGCTTGTAGGAAACAGGTAGAATAGAGAATATGGGGTAACATGGGTAGCGAGGGCACTCAATGGCAGGCAATGCAAGATGAATGTTTAAGCAAACTGCACACCTCATTTTTCTCCCATGGACTGCACCAGCGCATGCGAGAGAGCTCCGAAAAGAGCACACTGATAATTGATGTCCCCGAAATTTCCGTAGAAGCAGCGAGTGGATATTCCAGACACGCGCTTCATTCCCACATGCCCTGAGCCTAAGGTTGGACAGGCTCAAGGTTCACCAAAATTACGCTGTACACTTCAGAACTCATGTTTTCATGTGCGTGATGAAATGGGCTCTGCGATTAGCCTACACAGCGGGAAGATTTTTCAGGAACTTCTTCGCAACCTTAACAGCAAGATCATAGCAGGCAACAGTGCCATTGTCGATCTCAGCCTTCTTGGCTTTGTAGATGACCTGGGTCTCCTTCCAGAAGGGATCCTGCGCATGAGCAAGAACTGGAAAATCAAGAGTACATATCTAGGTTTACCATCAAGACCAGGATGAACATGCAATAACAAACAGTCCTGATACTTTGACGGATGGGTCACAAACAACGCAATCTTGTCTTCAAACGCAGCCTTGGTTGCCTGCCACCTCTTGTACTTCTGGTCTGTTTTCGGGGGAGGGCGGCGTGCAAAGGACACCTCCTTGTTCTCCATGCCACCATTCTCATCCTCCACCGTGCCCTTGACCTTCTTCTTGCGCGTCTGGGCCTGCTCCTGATCACCCGCAACCTCTCTGGCTGCCCAGGCCGCAGCACGATCAACCTGCCACAAGTCCCATTCCTTGCAAACATCCTCCCAATCAATCTCAGGCTCAGCATCCATGGATGTAGCTGGATTTCCTTTGCTGCGCTGCCCACGCCCAGCACCGCGGCCAGCAGCCCTACCGCGACCACAGCCACGGCCACGGCCTGTGCGTTTTTTGGGAGGGTCAAAGCCCTCTGCCTCTCCAATGTCAACCGCTGCCCCCTTGCGCTTGAGGACGGTTTGCTCCACTCGCGAGGCATGATCCTGCCCAAAAAAACGCAGAGGTCCCATGAACAGAAAAATCAAACGAGTTATAAACTATCAAGATCTTACAAAAAGAGGTTGGAATGTAGGGGGGAATGTCGTCTGGCCTC